GGAATATAACATACATGTAATTTTATTTCTAAAACTATTATATAATAAATAAAAACAGTAAATGATTGTGTTTACACTTTAAAAATATTTTAAAAATTTCAGGTAAGAATTATGAAAATTTGAGTTTGAACTCATTGAGGAAATACATTTTCTTCAGTAAAGATCAAACCTAATTTGTTTAATTCGAACCCAATGCACTTGTTTTCTGCAGAGCGCACTTATTTTTAAGAATGTGAAAGTTTTGGGCTTTTGGGTCACACAGTGGAAGAGAGATCACTCTCATGGCAAGTTGGGATTATTTTACCTACGTAATTAGAAAATATATAATAATAATATTCTAAAGACTTGTTKAAAAGTAATTTTACTAAGAGATTTTGTTTTGCACAGATGGGAGAGCCTTCCGAGCCATGGTGGATGAACTGTGCTCCCTGATCCAGCGAGGGAAGCTCACAGCTCCCGCCTGCACCGAGGTGCACCTCCGAGACTATCGGTCGGCTCTGGAAGCGGCCATGCTGCCTTTTGCTTCCAGTAAACAGGTTCTGATCATGTGATCGATTTACCATCATGACAGCTGTGTCTGAACTGACGTGACCACAGGCGTGCCACAATAGTTCTGCACAAACACACTCAATAAACATGTCCTGTCCTCAGGCTCAGAGTTCACTGTTTATCATATCACCTCTGCAGTAATACTTCAGTTTTACTGGCAGTAAAGAAAAACATCTTAAGTCTTTACATAGATTCATGAGATAGCTGACGTTATCGGCTGACAAAACTATCTGTTACATTCAAAAATCACTTTTTAAATGGATTCAAGAGAGTACAAATAATTTAAAAGGGTATTGTAAAAAAGTATTTACTCATTTATTGTTTCATTTAGAATACAGTTCATACAGTTAGTCTGTCAGTAGATTTACTAAACAAATAAAGTAGTTTGACATAAGCATTTAACCAAAGACAGGATTTAATATGGGCCATGTGATGGTTTGGAACCTGTTCAGGGTGAACCTAACTGCTCTAACAATGGATGGATTTATGAATGAATGTATTTAGTATATAATATTACAACTAATTACAGCTTAGTTTGTTGGGTTRTATGAACAAAAAAAATAATAATTTTTAAACTGGCCAAATATAAAGTGATAAAAACCAGTGAAAAAGCTGCATCATTGATTGATGAAACCAAAGTCTTTGGGGTTTTCAGTCAATTACATTTAATGCATGACATGAATGAGTGATCAGATCAGATTAGATCAGATTAGATGTAAATACTGAAAATACAGGACAAAAATAAAATAAAATAAATCTAAAAAGGGACATTACTGTTGACGAATTTGTCAAGGAACTGAAATCAGTCGCCCTTTTGTGTGACATGTAGATGTAAAAGTTTCACTTTCAAACAATGTAAATGTCAAAGGTGGAGTGTCTTCTTCCCATATGTATATGCTTTGGTAAAGTTGTCCATCTTCCTTTTTTATTATTTATTTTTTGTTTATTTTTTTTAAGTTTTACACATCTCTACCAACCAGCGGCCGCGATGCTCACAGCCACGGAGAGGACCACCAGCAGCAGCCCACCGTTTATGGAAGTCACTCCTTCTTTGACCAAACACTGCTCATACCTGTCAAAGTCTATTTCTCTTGCGGCACAAACATGGTCGACACGGCAGTCGCTGTCGCAGTCTGTCAGGTCGTAGCTGACAGAGTTGAAGTCATAGTACTTCTGCAGGTAGCAGCGCTCGGCAGCTATTTGCTCCAGAACCCGGTGCATGGAGGCTGGAGAGGCGTCTGGTACTCGGAAACTCTCTGTGAGGCGGTACTCTTTCTCCCACTGCTCTGTGACTGCATTAGCGCGAGTGAGGTTCAGATAATATGTCACCACATCCTGTTCACATGTTGAGGTTTAAAAAAAAAAATCAAGAAGAAACAATATAAGCACCAGATGTCTCTCCTTGAAGCAGCAGAACATCCTTTCACAGTAGAAAAGTTGTGATCTGTCTGGAGCAACTTGCACTAAAATAATTGCTCGTAGGATTACAGATACTTACGCTCACTAGAAGTGTTTTTGTGTCGTATTCAAAAACACGAATCCCAGGGTTGTTAGCTCCATCCACAACTCCAGGAAGTGTTGTTTCCCATGGTGTGACCCCTGGGCTGAGAAACATTGTACTGATGGGCAAACCTGTGGAACAAAAAGTGATGTTACTTTTTATCTAGTCTTCATTTTAATACCAAGGCGGGGCACAGTAGATGTACGGCAGGGGGAAAAAAATGATGACATTTAACCACTAATGCAGGAAATGTCAGAGTGTCTTGCCTTCTGTGTTGTAGAACATGCGGAAACTGTCCGTGTGATGATGGCCAAAGAACTGTCCAGCAATGATGGAATGATGCTTCTTTATCAGATCCAAATATTGCTTGTTGAACTTTGAGGTGAACCAGGGCTTGCTTCTTTTTTTCTCAAAGAAACCTGGGGGAACATGGCCAATGATGTACACCTGGGCAAGAGAATCACTTCAGAGTTAGCTTAATTGTTCTATTTTTACTCAAGTATTTTTGAACTTTTTGCTAAGGGCTGTTATGAACCAAGTAAGTGAAAGTTTTTATATAAGTTGGACTTAYAGTCTTTTTTTTTTCCTGCGGCAAAAATATAAAATTAAAAGAGGAAATTCTTGCATCAAATTTCAGTTAAATCTTGGTTGAATATGATGTTTTACCTTCTCCTTGTTGTTGGCTGCCTTCGTAAGAGTCTGATCCATCCAGCTAAACTGGCCCGCTGGGTCATCCATATCCACAGTCAACTTGTTCTGGTCATAGTAGAGGTTAGTGTTGAGGACCAGCATCYTAAAACCATTGCGGTGCAGCAACTTTTCTGTGTAATATCCACCTATGCAAAAAGAATCGGAAAATGTATTTTTAAAAGGGATCCCCGATTAGTTGTAACATTAGACTTTATTAGATAAACATATCCATCCATCCATCCATCCATTTTCTTCCGCCTATCCGGGGTCGGGTCGCGGGGGCAGCAGCTTCAGAAGGGAGGCCCAGACCTCCCTTT